TAGAGGAGTGGAAAAGATTGACTTTTAATTTTGACATTACCTCATGAGACAAAATAGCCTTCTTTACTCAATGATTGGTATAACAGATTGTTGAAATTCCATTATCTGGGACATGTAAACCATTATGGCAAACTGCTTTTATGATTCATATGTATGCCAAATGGTATAACGACTCAAGAAAATGCCAATCATCGTTATAATATAGCAAAATCATTCAACATGCTATCTGCGATCACAATTTGCAGTTTGCAACATTTATTATTTCAATCAGTGCGCTATGGGATACATTTTCATCTTTCGGTTTTCCATGATCTACTGTGCTCAAGGTCTGTAGGCTCTTTCATAAATCAGTCCAGCAAAAAGTACGCACAGACCAGTCCACCTTTATCTCCATGTGGCGGTTCATAATCACAGATGACACCGGCCACTTCCTGCACAAACATGAGCTTTTAGAAATGAAGCTGAAGACCTGTTCTAACCTGCGCCGCTCGGTGCGGCTACATGTTGGAGTAGCTGTTACATTCATTCTGATATTGCTTTTGAAAACTCTTTCCTGGATGTAAGTCCTTTTTTTTTTTGATTGATTATTTCCTCTGGGATCGGATGCTGTGCAGCTGGAAGGATTTTTACTGAAAACTTTTTACTTTTGAACATTTGTTATGATGCGCAACTATAAAAACACTGACCAACAAAGTGAAGTCAGGTCCTCTGGACGGTTTCTTTGTTTTTTTTAAATGTTTCGTCTTTCATCCAAAAGACTTCATCAGTCCGAGGAGCCACAACAAACTCAGTCCCACAAGTAGCACCATCACATAGTGGGCCAACCAGTTTGATGGTGACAAGATGGTTTCTGGAGTCTGCGCTCTCCTCTGTTGGCTCGTCTGAGACGGCCATAGCCAAAGTGGTTTCAAGCATCAAAGTTCATGCTCAACAATCCCAATTTAAAAAATCCAACAAGGTCAAGTCAGGTCGTCTGAACGGTTTCTTTTTTTGTTGTTGAAACCTTTCGTCTTCAGGCTTCATCAGTCTGAGGAGCCACAACAAACTCAGTCCCTCAGTCCGTAACAACACAGTGACAGCAGGCAATAATTAAAAAAGCAGCATATTAGCAAAACCAACTTATTAAAATAAAACTTGGCCTATAAAGGTATTAAAACTTAGGCCAAACAATATGTAACAGCATTAGCAATTTTTCTAAACTGCTTTGATTTCCTATCATTCAAAGTGCAGCGAGCAATTAAATTAATGCAGCATACAATTTAGTTGATTGAATCTTTTTCTTTTATTCTGCACATACAGCTGCCATTGTGCTCCAACCCTCACTGGGGTCACTCCTTATCTCTGCACCAGTAGATGACCTGGACATGACGAGAGACATTTAAGTCTTGGTGCTGAAGCCATCTTGTTATATTTGCATTAAGTTAGGCGCATGGCGCTCTTGCCTTTGGATCTGAACAAGATGTAAAGCATGTACACAAGCTAATATGCTGTTTGTAATTATTAGCAAATTGCTTTACACTAAGTGTGCTGCCATGAGTGTCAGCGTAGACCCAGTTTTGACATGGGAATGTTAATGCTTTGTCATCATATCATTGTTATCCCAATTTGATCATGAATGTATGATAATCACAGCCTAATTATCATAAAAATTATAATGTTTTTCTATTTTTGTCAAGCTCTTCTGTTTATATAATCTTATTATCTTAATATAATCTCATATATTATAATCTCTTATTATAATCTTATTATAAATTTCTTATGTTTATATAATCTCGCTGCACTTTGGTGCAATGATAATAAAGCTTATTCTGATTCTTGTGCCAAAGAATGGGACACTAAATATGTACTAAAATCTATACTGATGTTTGTGATAATGTTTTAAGCAGAACTGACAATATAACTCACTGTTGTGTTCAGTTATTTTGAGACTAGAAGTGGCACATGGAAATAAAGTATCAAGTTTTGGACTAAACATGCCATAAATAGAGTAGAACTTAATCCTAGCTTTTGTCAGTTTAAACATGAACAATCTAATAATTTGATATTTTTATTCAGCTTGTTTTTTTTTTTGTAAGGAAATTGTTTCAGAAGCATTAGACTGATCACTGATATTTCAAAAAATGTGACACATTTATCAATCAGTGACCAAACTCTTTATCAAATGTAACATGGAGACCAGAAGGACTTAAAAATCTAAGCTACTTATTTTGCATAAAATATCAAATTGGAGTTTTACAGTAGGATGGCCTGTGATCCTCTCTGCAAAGAGTTGAGGGCTTTGCTGAGTGCTGCTTTTGTCCATCTCTGGCACCAGAAGTGGTTGAGGGGTCGTGGACGTGAGCCAGTCTGTGGCAGATGGGTGATGCAGATTTTAGGAGTGTGCTTCCAGGCAAAGAAGTTAAATCCATGTGTTTTGGCAAGCCTTGCAACCAGAAGTATTCAGTTCAAATCATCAGAATGAAACGTCTTTCTGGTTATGTGCTGAAGCCACAGTGACCTAAGATCTTTCAGAAGCTTCTGCTTGCAGAGATCAAGTGTCAGGCTGTGGAAGGCAGCTTGTGACATTTCTAGAGAAGTGTCCAATTCTCATTGGAAAAGTATCAGTGGAGCTCAGTTTAGATGTTCTCATGATCCATCCATGACTTTTTTAAAATAACAGAACTTCAACACCTACCCAAACATATCAACCGTTTTTTGGCCTATGTTGTAAAGTGAAGAGGGGCGATTGGAAATACAATACAATACAACTTTATTTATAAGGCACCTTCAAAACAACACAGTTGGCCAAAGTGCTGTACAGGAACACACACAAGCAAAAAAAACTATAACATCAACTGAAACTGTAAAAGTAATGAACTGTTAAAATCATAAAACAGCAAACAGTTAAAACAATAAAACCAACATTTCAAGCTGAGTTAAAAGCCAAAGAGAAAAATATGTCTTCAGAGAAGATTTTAAAACAGGAAGTGATGTCAGAGGCAGCTCGTTCCACAGTTTAGGGGCAGCGACTGAGAACGCTCGGTCACCTCTCAGCCTCCTGTCGGTTTTTGGAACGACCAGCAGCAGCTGATCTGCTGACCTGAGAGAGCGTGAAGGAACGTACAGCTGGAGCAGGTCAGACAGATACTGTGGGGTGAGACCATGAAGACATTTGAAAACAAATAAAAGAACCTTAAATTAATCCAGAAACAAACTGGGAGCCAGTGTAGTGATTCTAAAACAGGGGTGATGTTTTCTGGTTCCAGTTAAAAGATGAGCAGCAGCATTCTGAACCAGCTGAAGTCGAGTCAGTAACGTCTGTCTCAGACCCATGTGAAGTGAATTACAGTAGTCCAGACGAGTTGTGAAGAAAGCATGGATTAAAATCTCAAAATGATGTGAGAGAAATGGTTTGACCGTGGCCAATTATCTCTAGTGATGGAAAACTTGACTTGATGACTGATTTAGTCAGTGCATCGAGTTTAAAATCATTGTGCAGCCTCACACCCAGGTTAGTTGCTGTCTCAGTCAGATGTTGTGTTAAAGGACCCAGACCAGCATGGACTTTGGAACCATCACTGGGCTTAAACAACAGGACCTCGGTCTTTTGCTCATTAAAATGTAAAAAATATATGACAAAAAATATATGACATTCATGCCCTGACTTCTTCCATACATTCCAGGAGTTGGTTCACGTAGTACTGTTTTATCTTGTTTTAATGGAACATAAATGTGGCCGTCATCAGCATAAAAATGCAAAGTAACACCATGTTTCTGGAGAATATATCCCAGAGGGAGTAAATAAAGGGAAAACAGAAGGGGGCCAAGTATAGGTCCCTGAGGTACTCCACAAATACCCTCAGTCCGTCCATCAGTGCCTTGTGTTGTGAGCATAACTTGGAAAATAAGTCATTTATAAACTTCAGAGTTTGTGTGTTGCTGCATCTATGCATAAGAAAGGTCACTATATCGAAAATTGGGTTGCCACTTCATAATCCAAGATGACCACTGCCGTGTGTGTGGGTAAACAAACAACCCCTATCATTTGATGAAACTAAGCTTTTAGTTTGTATATTGCCTAAAAATATAGTTTCTTTACACGATTGAGGTGGCACTTGACCACACCCTGGTTCTGCCATTGCACCTGGTCATGGATAAAATTGCACCATCCACTCGCCAGGATCCGTCACTCTGCCTTGGACAAGAGAAAAACAAAATGAACAACAAACAAACAAAAAACGACCTCTGTTTTTCTCCACACTGTAACTCCTACCCACTTGAATATCTTGCACCAAAAACATTTAGGTTTACCTGCATTCCCTGCCCTATTCCAGTCCAGAAAAACGCTCATCTCGAAAATGACAAACATTAACTATTCAAATTAAATCCCTCAGTGGCGGGGGCCTTGGCACACCACTTTTTAGTCTTGCATTAAGTTAGTTGTCAAATTCGTCTCTTCTTCCTCAAGCATGTCATGTGTGAGCAACATATCAAAAGTAATTAGGGTCTGTCTTTGCTACAGCTTCTGTAGCTTCATCTAATCTTTCTCAAGCATACATATATGTACCCAGAGGAGAAGGGTGGAACTAATGAACTAGGAAAGTTTAGAAAGGGCTGAAAGAGAAACCACAGAACTCCGTAAGCTCTTTTGAAATGGCCCAGTGGCTTGTCTTCCTCAGATTTATACACAACATGTATCTCAAGTCTGCCTGCTTAGCCTGTATGACAAATTGAATCAACACTATGCCTCGTGTCTGCTTGTATAATGAGAAGTAGAACTGACACATTCAGAAATAAGTGGGAGACGGAAATGATCTAGCCTTTCCTTGAAAGAGTGCATATCCTCAGTAATATATTATGACACAAGCCACGGAAGAAACAGAATGTGAAAAATTGCCTTTCTGCTCATTGTGAGTAGGATGGGTCTTGTTTCTGAAGCAGCTGTCTTCACTCACTTCAGTTATCTTATCTGCTGGTATTTTTTTAAACTTTCCCCTCCCACTCCTTTTACTCCTACTCAGATTTGCAGACTCGATCCGTGGGATGCTGAAGCTGATCCTAGTGCTGATGTTGGCAGGAGCCTCGCTTTCCTCTACCTGGTTCACCCTCACCTGTCTGAGCAGCTTTACCCACCTCCCATCCACTTCTGGTAGGTCCACATCAGCACCACTTTCAACGCCTCCCTCAAACACATCGAAGCTCAGAGTCATAGTTTCCTATTTATAGTTTTTGCGTTATTGTAGAAGTTGGAGTGCATAGTTAAGAATGTGGGGAGTAAAAGAAAGCCTGCTGTCACAGACTGTGCTGCACATTTGATACATATTCAGCAGAGACTATCTATCAGTAGATGTCAGTGATAAACCCATTAGTGGATATACCATTCTCTCCCTATGCCAACTAATATTCATATCAGCAAATATTTCTGAGCCTTTGCTTCCAGTCATGACTATCCATCATTTCCCCTACCCCTGGGATGGCTTTCTTTTTCTACCTCGTGTCCTTTAATCCCAGACATTGGCAGTCTGAAGCAGCAAAACCCCGACCGTGTTTGTCCGTCTGGCATCTCACCTCAGAGGGTGGTGAGGCACTGCAATAAAATTAGCCAAAAGTCCTTATTATTCCAGTGTGACCTGCTCAGTAGCGATATATGCTCACACACAAAAATAACAATATAAATAATAATATGTATTCTGTGGCCAGACAAGTTACAAGTAGTTCTAGTAGAGCGGATACTAGAAAAAGCTCTTGTCTGGCTATCTTGTAAACTTTTCTTTTGACCGTTGCTGCCACCTTTTTGTCACAAATCATTCCTCTTGGTTTTTTGTATTATAATGCATCGAATCTCAATGAGTTGAATCAAACTTATGTTCAGTTGCAAAGACGTAATTGTTTTCTGCGGTATTGTTCTTGCTGCCTACATACCTTTAATGGATCGAAACATTGGCAGTGTATCAAGATGTGCATCATGTAGGAGCAGACCCAACCTTCATGTCCCCATTTCCTCTATGTGGGAGGCCTTAGCTATTTCTAAACCTCAAAAATAGAAACCTCAAATTAATTTGTATGTTTTTATATAAAGCATAAAGCCACTGAAGTTCTGAAGTAGCGTTTTTTGATCGATGAAACTAGACAGAAATAAAAATATGGTAAGTTTGGTAAATGGAGTGGGTAATTATCATACATTAATCAAATTTAAAGTATTACCTGCAAAACACAGTATGTAGTTTGGTAATATGAGCATGCAGTGAAAATTAACTGTAGATTTGATTATAAAAAAGCTTTAAAGTTCTCTAAAGCATGTGAGATATTCTGTCTGTTTACATTCAGCCAAACACATTAACGATAATTGACCATGCCGACAGAAAATTACTCAAAGGCTAGTGTGGACAAAGCCCAGGGGTTGCTGAAGGTAATGAAGTGGATTATTTTTCGATGACCAAACCAGTCACCTGATTCCCAACTAAATAAGCAGCAGCGGTCCACAAACAAACAACATCTGAAGCCAGCTGCTGTAAAGTCCTGGTGAAGAATCTCACTGGAGGGAACCCATTCATCTGTGATGTTTAATGGATTTCAGACTTTGATAAAACTTACATGTCTTTGGACAGTGGGGGAAATACAAGAGTACGCAGAAAAAACAAACCCAGGCACAGAAAGACCATCAGAACCAAGACTGAACTTGCTGTTAGACAGCAGCTTAGTGGATGAGTGGATGGTGATGATTATGTAACGAAGATTAGCTAATCAAGAGTCCCAAACTCTCTTCTAGTTCTTATTTAACATTTTCACCCAGCCCACATTAATTACAGTAAAAAAAAACATCCACTTCTCTTCAAAGCACTGAGGCAAATTCTGTGTTCCCTAGAGATTATTACAAATCTGTTTCCTTTGAGGATCCTCCTCTTATCTTTTTGGAAGGTGTGATGTCTTCTTTAATTTTCTGATATGAGAAGAAAAGGTGTTTGATGTAAAGTAAATGCTAAACTGAACGAAGACGTGCAGGGGAGACGGCTGCTTTTGATGACTGCCTGGCAGGGCCTGGGTTTCCAGTCACAGGTAGGCAGGAATGCGATGGTCCTTGGGGGCGCTGTGATTAAAGGAACGAGCGGTCTACTGTGGCAGACTTTGTACCATTCTGCTAATGTATAGGAGAAAGATGCTTTGGGGTTGATGGCTCTGCACATGCACTTATTACACCTCAACATATTTATCTGCGTGTGCATGCACAAGCTGTTGGGACCCTGCTAACTTGCACATACCCGTACTTGTATTTGTGCTATTTTGGGATCAACATCACCACAGTCTTTAACTCTAGGGTTTACACTTTCTACACTCCATCCTAATTAAAGTTTCTCACAAAACCCAGAAACACATTTATGATGGTTAAATTCATCCATCCTTACATCCTTCCATTATCTTTACCCACTTTTTCCTTTTCGGGTTCTCTTGACCTCTTCAAGGGTCGCCACAGCGAGTCAACCTTCTCTATGTCACTCTGTCTTCTGTGTCCTTTGTCCTCACTCCAACTACCTCCATGTCCTCTCTAACTGCATCCAGATGGGGGCCAAGATGGTGTAGGGGCAGGGCAGCCGACTCGGGACCCGAAGGTCCTGGGTTTGATCCCCGGTCATTGCACATCTTGTGGTGTCTCAGAGCAAGAAACCCAATTTGAATTGCTCCCCCAGGCAGCTTACATAGCTGCCCACTGCTCCACCTGGGTGTATACCAGGTGCGATGGGTTAAATGCAGAGAGACAATTTCGTCTTTGTACAATGATGACAACACATAGCACTTGAATTATTATTATAATACCTCCTCTTTGTCTTTTTCCTGGCAGCTGCATTTCTAACATCCTTTTACCAATATACCCACCCACTGTCCCTTCTCTGGACATGTCCAAACCACTGTCCCTCCTCTGGACATGTCCAAACCATCTCAGTGTGTCCTCTCTAACTTTATCTCCCAGTTGTTCAACTTGTGCTGTACCTCTGATGATCTCATTCCTGATCTTCTCCATCCTTGTCTCCTAAGGAGAACCTCAACATCTTCGTTTCTGCCACTTCCAGTTCTGTCTCCTGTCTTTTTGTCCATGTCTCTGTCTCCAGACCATACAACATAGCTGGTCTCACCACTGTCTTGTAAACGTTTCCTTTGACCTTTGCTGACACCCTTTTGTCACAAATCACTCCTGAACCTTTTCTCCATCACTCCATCCTGCCTGGACTCTCTTCTTCTCCTCTTTACCACACTCCCCATGTTCCTGGACAGTGGACCCCAAGTCCTTGAAGTCCTGCACCTTTGTGACCTCTGCTCCTTGTAGCCTCACTGTTCCACCTCCTCCCTCTCATTCACACACATGGACTCTGTCTTACTACGGCTGACTTTCATTCCTCTTCTTTCAAGTGCATACCTCCACGTCTTCAAGTTCTCTTCCACCTGTTCCCTGTTCTCACCACAGATCACAATGTCGTCTGCAAACATCATCGTCCATGGGGATTCCTGCTTGACCTCATCTGATAGTCGGTCCATCACCAGAGCGAATAAGAAGGGGCTCAGAGCCGATCCTTGATGCACTCCCACCTCCACCTTGAAGCTGTCTGTCCCCCCTACAGCACATTTCACCACTGTCCTGCTGTCCTCATACATGCACTGTCCTTTTGGGTCGCGGGTGTCACTGGTGCCCATATCCAGCCATCATTGTGTGAGGGGCGTGGGACACCCTGGACAGGTCTCCCGTTCATCACAGAGACAAATGGAAATTGGAAGAAACCACATAGCTCTTCGTTATTTTGAATTAAAATTTACGACATCTGTTCCCCCAGTTGAACCCATATATGCAGAGAAAATAAGGCAGCCCAAACGTTAACATTCTCATCATGCACACCGACCAAACAAGACGAGCTGTTTGCAATACGGACACCTGTGCATTATTGCAGGGGACTAAGAAATTCCATTTTATTACACAGTCAAATCCATGAAATAAGATTACCTTAATGCAGAGTGTGCACGCAAATGAAAACCAGTAATATATTGTAGGAGAAACTGAACCTGAATTGTTGTGCCAATGCAATCAAAATGTTTTATTTATTTATTCAGTTTTATTTTTGTAACACCAAGCCAGACTGCTGCAGATAGTTTGGCCTCTTGGAGAGTTAGCAATAGGGCTGAATATCAAAACCCACAACTGATTCCAGTATTTTTAATTATGTCCGGTGTTACTGAATTCCTGTGTTTCTTTTGGTATTATTATATATTATATTATATTATACATTATATAAACATTGTGTTCCAAGTTTTAAAGGCTTTTGCAGAAAATGTTTTTTCTGATTTAAAAAAAGATTCAAACAGAAAAAAAAAAAAATCTCGTTACAAAGGAATGTGCTGTTTGCTCACATCCTCCATTGCTGCGAGCGCTTTCTGCCTCAAAGCAATTATTTCTGAAACAGAGCTTATGAAACAAGAGCATCATAATTATACAGGCAGCCAGAAAAACACATTTCAAGTGACACAGCTGACAAATTAAACTAATCATTTTACACTGCAGAAAAGAAGAAAAGGTGATGGTGGAATTGGGTTGGAACGACGGCCATTTACTGTCAAAACACCTACAGTATTTTGGCTTCGTTTCTGCTGAATTGTTACCCCGAGGGCTGCCTTTCAAAATGGAATGTTGTTTCAGGATGAGGGGCTGTTATAAATCTGTGCTCTGGTAAAAAATGGTAGTGTGGAAGTCTGTCGAAGGTTGGATAAATCACTGCGGGTCCTTAAACTTGACCTCGGTGCTATATTTTTAAAAGAATAGTCACGTGGGATTTGGTCATCTTGTTGCATTAAAGCTCTAAATTACAGTTTTCTAAATGGGCCCACGGTTTGTTGTACTTTTCTCCTCAGCCATCTTGTACACTTCCTGCATCCTGGTTGGTATTTTTATCAACAGCAGCGTGCCGATATTCTTTGAGCTCTTCATTGAGACCGTGTACCCGGTCCCTGAAGGCATCACCTGTGGGGTTGTCACCTTCCTGGGAAACCTGGCCACTGGTCTGCTCCTCTTCTTCCTCACCTTTTACTGCACAGGTAAGACTTATACTTTGCAACCCTTTTAAAAGCTTCTTAATTGCGTTTAAATAAACTTGTTTACTGAATTTGCTTTGTTTTTTGGAAAAACCACTGCTTCAACAGGTTTTTATTGTTTTGCTGGTGTTGTTGTGAGTTTATAGAGTAAGAGCTGCAATATTTTTGTATCATTTTGAAGGTTTCTATTACCCTGGACGTCTATATTACCACAATAAGCAACAGGCTTCATTGTTTAAAAAAACAATTTAAGCCTTGCAGATGCTGCAAATAAAACATGGACAGAAGGGAAATTAGGTTCCAATGGCATTCCACAGTGTCGACACAAAGACTGAGGAACTCTATTGTAATTTACCGTCTGCTTTATCTCTGAGCTGGCTGTAAAGCGTGGTTGGATGTGGTGATTCAGGCGCGCAGCAGTGGGTACGGCCGGCGTTCTGCTTCTCGTCTGCCTCGCAGCCTCAGCATGGAAACAGAAAATTATATTTAAGTGAGCTCCGTCGCAGATGTAAGCAGCTGCCTGTGTGTTTGCACGTGTATATATAAGACTGTGTGTGAGTGCGTGGTGATCTTTGGGTATAGAGCTTTGGTTTCCCAACATCAAAGCTCCAACCAGTAGCTCAGATGTATCTATCGTCTGTCACACACGTTCTCTTCCTGTTTGTTTGAGGGAATAAGATATATATTTTCAGACTGTCATAAATATTCATGAACTTCATATTCATCCTCCTTCGACAAGTTTCTGCTCTTGCGCTGAGGCTTCCATCAGCCACTGCCTGACTTGTGTGTTGGAGTTCTGAGTCTGCGGTCATTTTTCAAACGCAGGTGGAGGCGAGCGTTGTTTTTCACCTGTGTGAAACCCTCAGGACCCGCCAACAAGCACAACAGTCAGAAAAGGAAACTAGGTTGCTTTGAGGCTCAAAGCGGGTCTCAATTATTTACTGGAGATGTGTCACAAAGTTCAAAAGATTAAAGTTCATAATAAGGAAATAATCTAATTATGGGTTAATCTGTGGAAGCATTTGATTTGCATGGGTGTGATATCATGGCATTTCAGTTACCTTTTTTGTTTCTCTAAATTGCAAATGTTTGAAATGCAAGTTGGGCGGCACGGTGGAGCAGATGGTAGAGCTGCTGCCTCTCAGCTAGAAGGTTGCCAGTTCAAATCCCGACCCAGGACCTTTCTGGGTGGAGTTTGCATGTTCTCTCCGTGCATGCGTGAGTTTTCTCCAGGTTCTCCAGTTTCCTCCCACAGACCAAAAACATGCATGTTAGACTGATTGGTAACTCTGAATTGTCCCTAGGAGAGAGAGAGAGAGTGAATGGTTGTTTGTCTCGTTTGTCTCTATGTGTCCCTGTGATGGACTGGAGACCTGTCCAGGGTGTCCTCGCCTCGCGCACATTGACAGCTGGATATGGGCACCAGTGACCCCCATAACTCGAGAAGGAAGAAGCAGGTACTGTAAAGATAATGGATGGATGGATGGATGGATGGAACGAACGAACGAAGTTGCATAGCTCAGTTTTGACTAGAGTCCATATCAGCAGTGAAAGGATGGTGATGGCAGGCTACAGTCTGGACAGGTCACCCAGTCCATCAGGGAGACAAACATCTATGCGCTCTCATTCCATAAAGGTAGTTCCAAAAATCACCAGTTAATCTGCCATTTTGAGACTGCAAGGAAACCGAAGTAGCCAGAGAAAAGCCACACGTTCTGTACAAGCAGAGAACATGAAAACTTCACATCAAAAGACCCTAATGGAGCTGCAGCATGCTGTCCAGAACAACAGGTTTCCAACTCCTTCTTTGTTGAAAGCAGAAAAAAAAATTATTAACTGAACTGTAGTTTCTTCAAGAGTATGTTTTAAATTTACCTGCTGTTTTCCCAGGTGCCCTATCCAATGAAAACCCACAAATATAAGTATTTAACTGGGAGGATGTGATGCCATTAAAGCAGAGATCTGCTGATTTATGAACACGGACCTTCATCTTCTACTGCTTATCTCTAGTTAGGTTGTGGATGCAACACGTCCAGTTGAGAAACCCAGACATCCCTCTCGCAACAATTTCCAGACCCTCCTGGAGGACCCTGAGGCCTTCCCAGGCCAGAGAAGATACACAATCCCTCCAGCAAGTTCTGAGTCTTTCCCGGGGCCTCCTACCAGTGAGTTGTGCCCGGAAAACCTCTAAAGGGAGGTGTCCAGGAGGCATCCTAGTCAGATGTCTGAACCACCTTAACTGACTCCTTTCGATGTGGAGGAGCAGCGGCTCTACTCTGAGCTCCCCCCGGTTGATGGAGCTCCTCACCCTCTCTCATAAGGCTGAGCCCGGCCACCCTGCGGAGGAAGCTCATTTTATTCGCTTGTATCCAGGATCTCGTTTTTTCGGTCATGACCCAAACTACATGACCACAGATGAGGGTTGGAACGTAGACAGACCAGTAAATTCAGAGCTTTGCTTTTCAACTCAGCTGTTTCCTCCAGAGCCCGGCTGGTTTATTGGTAGGGCCGATAATTTAGGCACATGTAGACGTATGAATGACTGTTTAAATAATGAACAGGGAAGGGTGTTTCTTTGTTTAATTTATATTTACATAACACACTTAATAACTTTATGGTGAATAATGGAGGATAGAAAATGTGAACGCACATAAGGAAGACTGTTTTTATGACCACCACTTGGAAACCTACTGTGGGACTACGTATAGCATGGCTCTGATTAGCTTAGCTTCATGGTTGCTAACAGCCGTGTTAAATAAACAAACCCTACTCCAATTGCTGTTTTCTTGGATCCTTGGGGGTGGACAAAGCTAAAAATTCTTCAGTCAGTATATCCGTTATCGGCGGTCACGTTCCTCCCAATATCGGTACACGCAATAGCCAAAAATTCCATATCAGTCAGGCACTAGTTTCCTCATCATAACGGACCAAAGCAACACCGTCATTACTGAGAATGAGGCCCTGATCAATCCATTCATCTACCTTCCATTCCATCCTACCATCACTCAGGAGCAAGTCGCCCAGATACTTAAACTCCTCCACCTGAGGAAAAGACTAGGAGAGGGGTGAGCCAACTGCTCACCCCTCTGTCCCTCCCCTCATGCTGCACAGTTTGGGCTCTGGAACCAAAGCCCTGAACACAAACCTGCCATTTAATTTTATCAACGATTAAATTAACCTCTCAAAGAGCAGTGCTAACTAGCTTTGGGTCCCAAACAGGCAGCTATAGAAATAATCAGTTGGTTTACTAATAAAAAAAGTGTAGTTTGTTTTTTAAACAAGTACAGTTGGTCATAAAAAATTACAATAAATCTGCGCAGCAGACATCAAGGTGTCGACAGTATTTCAGCGGAGCCGTTTGACTTGGGGATGTTGGTTTGGACTGCTGGGCTGGACTAAATAAACTCATTGTGATTATGTTCTTGTATTAGGAAGAATAGAGCCAGTCATAGAATAAGAAATGCACATGCACTGTATTTTTAACAGGAGTATAAAGGTTAGAGATACTTGAGGCATGTAATGTTTTCTTGACTTCTCACAGTCAAATAGTTTGAAGTCAAATTAAACACAAGCGAAGCTGTTTCACACTTGGAATCCAGATGCAAGTCGTGTTTTTTCTGAGTAATCTGAATTTTTAAAATGTCAGAATAGTAATAAATCATAGAAGAGACAAAAAAAAGATCAGGTGTGTATCGATGTGCTGCAGGCCAACACATTCAGAAGAGCAGAAATGATAAAGAATACATGATGCATCCTCTGCTCAGTCCCGCTCTCTGCTGTGCTGAAAGATGGACTGAACCGTGCGGCTCAAGGCGTCTGATTGTGTTTGTTTGGTGGATGTGCATTCATGGGTTTGTGTGGATGCCGGCGTGTTTATGGGTAACTGAGAGGGATGAGATGGATCCTGACAAACTCGGCAACAGATAAGGAAGAGATCAGAAACAAAAGGTGGAGGCTCTTGTTGCTTTAGTTTTTACTTCCCACCATGAAGTTGATAAACAGAGAATGATGCATCAAAGTTTTCTGGTTTGAGACGTCTTCATGCTGCAGGTTGAGCACAGTGAGCCTCCTGATAACTACTGCTTCTCTGAGTCTTTGCCTGCCATCTACTTGCACAACGTCTGCTAACGTTGGTTGAATTTGCCACGATAATACGTGTTAGCAGATCAGGACTTTAGTGTAACTTGCATAATGTGCAGTGTTTTTGAACTTGGATGTTTTTGCACAAATGTCCTTTTATTAACTACAAATTCTATGGTGAAACTCAAAAAGCATCCCCGTGGTGGTTGAAGTCCATTTGCTTCCCAGAAACACTTGGCAATATTTCAAAACATCTGCAGCTGTGACAGACGGTGCACAAAAGGACATCGCTATCAATTTACTATATTCAAGAAAATTTAATGTAAAACAGAACTGAAGTTTGACAGAAGGGCTCGGCTTAGTCGGAACTTGTTCACACACACGTTGAGTTTTTTGTTATGAGGTTTTAGTTGATGTTAACTTCAAATACCCACCTTTTTATAAACCTTATTGTTTTTATGTACAACTCAGTGTTTGTGTCATAATTCTGCAGGAAGCAAGTTTTAATTTGGAAAATGAAGTTTTTCATTTGAACATGTGTCGCCAGTGTTTTGCAAAGTTTATAACTTTTATTTGGTCTGTAAAACAATGTTCTGTTTGGCAACAAAAAAGTCCTCTCCATCATTTATTAACTTGATTTTCTAAATCCCCTTTGGACTATTCAAGTGGGCTGGCTCATTATTACAATGCCCTCCTTGCTGTTGGTACCATTATGAATCCAGCAAATAATATTCAGACTTGGAAACTGATACATTTTGCATGAGCATCATCGTTTTAAAACCCTTTGACTTGTAATATTGAAAATTGGCAACAGCCTTTAAATATATATATTTTTCCTTTTTCTAGTTTAGCATCCATTTTTAGGGTTTTCCCTTTGGCTGCATGCTGCCTCGTTAAGCGTTTAGAATTATGACTCATAGTTT